GACCTCACATTTTGAATAGATGGAGAATTCTGAATTCAAAGTTTTCTTTTAAAAATATTTATTCGTTTGTATTTTACTTTATTTGTATGAGTGTTTGGCCTACATGTAAATACACTGAAAAGTATATTGGAACCCCTGGAATTACAGACAGCTATGAGCTGCCATGTGAATGCTGGGAATTGAACCTGTGTCCTAAAAGAACAGCAAGTGCTCTTAACTGCTGAGCCATCTCTCCAGCCCTCAAGGTCATTTTCATAGTAGTACTTGAGTGGTATGTATGATGTTAAGCTTGACTGTCAGCTTGAAGGGCCACACATTTCCAGGCATGCTGCTAAGGGATTTTTTAATATTAGCTTAGTTGAGGTGATCTAAATGTGCTGTCACCATTCCATGGCTGGAGTCCTGCACTGAATCAAAGGAGAAAAGGAGCTTAGCAGCAGTGCTTCTCTCTGCTTCCTGACCAAGATTCAGTGTAAACAGCTACCTCTAGCTTCTGCCACCATAAAGGCCTAAAGCACGTGGAGCTGTAAGCCAAAATAAGCCCTTCTTTCCTTCTTTCTTTTAAGATTTATTTATTATGTATACAGTGTTCTGTCTGCATGTATGCCGGCGTGCCAGAAGAGGGCACCAGATCGCATTATAGATGGCTGTCAGCCACCATGTGGTTGCTGGGAATTGAACTCAGGACCTTGGAAGAACAGCCAGTGCTGTTAACACTCTAAGCCATCTCTCCATCCCAGCCCTTTCTTTTTCTTTATTTCTTTATGTATTTTTATGAATTACAGTTTACTCACTTTGTGTCCCCCCGCACCTCCCTCCCTCCTCTACCCTTTATTTCTTAAATTGCCTTTGGTCACTGAATGGAGAAGAGTAATTAATCTAATGGTGGTCAGTTTTGTTTTGCATTCACGTTGTGGGTAATATATTTTTCTTACTGAGAGACCTTCAGTTATTATTTTGTGCAGTGAATTCACTCTCATGTAGGAGCTGACAAACTCTATGAGAAGCCAGATCTGTTTTCACACGTTTTGGTACAACCCATGAGCTAAGAATACTTTTACCTTTTTTAATAAAAAAAAAAAAAAATTACAGAAATATTTCGTGATGTGAAACATGTGATTAGTATCTCCATGTTTATTTTTATTTTATTAGTATTTTTAGATTTTGAAAATTTATTTAATGTGTATACAATGTTCTGCCTACCTATGTGCCTACACGCCAGAAGAGGCACCAGATCTCATTAGAGATGGTTGTGAGCCACCATGTTATTGCTGGGAACTGAACTCAGCACTTCTGGAAGAGCAGCCAGTGCTCTTGACCTCTGAGCCATCTCTCCAGCCCTCCATGTTTATTTTTAAAGCTGTGTTGGAATACAGAGACATGCATTTGCTTATACATTATCTGCATCTACTACACAGTTGCAATGGGACCCACAAGATATGAAATATTTGTAACGTGGGCAGAAAAAAAATGATGATTCCTGCTCCTATACATCTTTTATTTGATTTAGTAGCTAAAATCATGGGAATTATTTCTATTGTTTTCTAGAGGTGTTTTTCAACTCTAGCATTTCAATAAAAAGAACAGTGTTTTCAACTGTGTCCATTCCACTCAGTGTCACACTGCAGAATTCATTAAAAACATTTTTTTTTTTTTTTTTTTTTTTGTGCGTCTGTGAAACAGCTCCTCCTTGCAAGCCTTCCGACTGAGTTCGATCCCAGATCCTACAAGGTGGCTAGAATCTGTGTCTGAAAGTTGACCTCTGATCTCCAGATGTGCACCAAAGCATATGAATCTTTATAGTTAGGTCCCCACCAGCACAGTAAAACAAAACAAAATGAACTTCCCCATTTCACATGTTTTTCATTCTTGTGAATACTCATTTTGATGCCTTGTTCTGATCTCTGTATTTACTTCTTCCAAAAGTGAAAGTCCTTACGTTTGTATTTTATTGGTATTTTTCAGCTGTCTGGTATGTGTTCACTGTTATTGGTAGTTGGGAATAGACTGCTGCCTCTGACTTACTAGTTGCTCAGGAAGAGTTAGTGGGACTGCTGGTGTTGTCATCAAAAAGAGGATTGGAAAGATGGTTTGGGAAGTCCTGTGCTGCTCAGTGTCTTTGGTTGCCCTTTTTCTTTATGTTCCATATTCTTTGCTTTTGTTTTTCTTTTAGGGACAAGATGGGATATGCAGAGTTTGACCTATATGAATGCTGCTTCTGGTGTCCTCGTTTCTAGGTTTTACTCAAATTCAGGTAGGGATCACTAATTGCTGCTCCCATTATCTGTAACAATTACCTTTTGTGTTCTGAGCCATAGCTGTTGGCTCCTTTGGTCTAATCTTGTTGGATGTCCTTCTTGTGGTCCACTTAAAGCTTCTCTACTTTTAGGTGGTTTTCTAATTTTTTTTCTTAATGATCACCGTCATTGCCGAGTCTTGCTATATATCCCAGGCTGTCCCCAACTCATGGGCGAGCGGCTTAGTCTCTTGGATGTTGGGGGGTCACAAGCACGAGCCAACACCACTGTAACTCTGATTTACATGGTCTGGGGGCTGAGACCTGCACCCAGTCCACCTTCTTTCAATCAGAGCTAGTCTGAATTATTTTTCTGGATGCTTTGTGTCTTAATATGTATTCTGTGAATGCTTTATGGACAACGCCCATAAAGAGTTTTTTTTTTTAAAAAAAAAAAAACAAAAACAGGAACTACTTTACTATGTCAATAAGCAATAGGTTTCAGTCCCCACTTTTTTTTTTTTTTTTTTTTTGCCTCTGAAGTCTAATATCATCAAGCCAGCTTTTTAAGGAGTCTGTACTGTTGGTTTTGATGGCCATTATTCTGTAACTGAGTCACCTGAATAAGAACTTTAGCCTTTTCACTCACTGATCTGAACATTTACATTTGCCACAGTTAGCTCATCATTACTTTATGTTGCAGGTCTGCTTTCGTATGTTTGTTTAAGGCCTGAATGAAGATGTTTTCAGTTTGGCTTTACTATTCTGGGTCCTTATTTTAATGTGTATTTAGCTCTCCTTCTCCCTCTAGTTCAGCTTGGTAGTTTTATGGGATGTCTGCTAAGACTTGCTAATATGTATGAAAATACATATATATTTTCTTCTGTGTCTCCTTGCAGTTGTTACTGCTAATATTTACACAAGCTTTCTTCTCTTTATCCTAATTTACCTTACAGTATATCTTCCAGCAAATTGTATTCTATTTTCCGTCTTTCTAGATGAGTGGTTCTCAACCTTCCTAATGCCATGACCTTTTAATATAGTTCCACATGTTGTGGTGACCCTCCTAGTCATAAAATTATTTTTGTAGCTATTTTGTAACTATAATTTTCGTACTGTTATGACTCCTAACATAAATATCTGTGTTTTCCAATGGTCTTAGGTGATGCTGTGGAAGGTCATTCATCCTCCAGAGGGGATGGAGCCCACAGATTGAGAGTCTCTGTTGTAGTTGGTTAGCCTTATCTATAACATTGAAATTGATTGACTCTTATTAGTTGTTACTTTATGCCATTGCTATAAGGCAACTGGAGGCAAGGCTTATTTAACCCCAGCCTCCATCTTGTGACTTGTGTTTTTTGAATTAATTAAGAATGTTATTTTATTATTTTATGTGTATGAGTGTTTATCTTTGTGTATACCTGTGTACTGTGTATGCAGGGCCCTTGGAAGGACAGAAGAGGGAGTCGGATTCTCTGTAACTGGAGTTATACATAGTGGTAAGCAACCATGTGCATGCCGGGGACAGAACCTAGGTCCTCTGTAAGAGCAGCTGATGTTCTTAACTGTTGAGCCATCACTTTGTCCCTTGTGACTTATATTTTTAAAAAGTGGAAGAACTCTTGCCTACTCAGGTCATCTTCTATTATAAAAGAACTTTATGTATGAAACCTTAAGTCTATGGCTAAAGAAAGAAAAATAATCTGCAGATTTAAAAAGATACTGAAGATACCATGGGCTAGGTATCATAATCCCAGTACTGGAAAGGTTCAGGGAGGAGGGTCAACAAGTTCAAGGTCAATCTCTGCCCTACCCCCCCCACCCCCAAGGAAAGGTAGAAAATGGTACAACCTCTCTGGAGGAGTCATTTTTCATCACCCACTGGACTAGGTATTTCCTGTTTATCCTTCTTTTCTCTTTGCATTCCAGGAGGCTGGCCTGATGGACCACATCAGGGAGCAACCTGGTCTTCTGGAGGTCAAGAGGTGTCATCAGCAGTTGCTGAGGATATGAAGAGAGCTGGATGTGTTTATAGCAGCTTGCTCTCAGGTGAGTTGCCTAGGTTGGCAAAGTTAGAAAACCTGCCAGGTGCCTTTCACAAAGCTACATTTTTGACTCTGGTGTTTCATGAACTTGTCCTTTTAGGTCAAGACATGGAAATGATTCCCCATTGTTGCTTAATTTGAGGGTCTGCATCCATCATTGCTTGGTTTCTATAAAACCCTTTCACATCTGCATAGATTCTTTACAACTACCTAGTTTAAATATGCTTTTCTGCTTACTCTGTTCTAGGAATTCCTCCTATATATTAAATGACGTGTATACTAGATGATTCATCAAGCACCATAATTTGTAACACTGGTATGTTAAAAATATATCAGTATAAGAGTGGAAAGTAATGGCATTAGCATGATCCACTCCTTTGACTGTTCTGACAAAGGTCCATTTAACACGTGATCTATGTTACTTAGGTGAGGTTAGCTCTGTAGCCCCTTCTTTACTGGGCTGACTGCCTATTGTGCTCAGTGATCTTAGATTCCGTGAAAGGTGTGACTTACTAAAGGAAATGGGTCATGAAGATAATAGGAAATCAGTGAGGAATAGAAGAGAAAACTGCAGGGAGTGTGGCCATCTAAGTTAAAAAAGCTAAGCCAGACACACGTCTTTTATGTTATTCGAAAGTGGAAAAAATAGAGGCTTTTGGCGGTACTTTAGTACTCTGACACGGCAGCCCTGCCAGAGCCCTGCACGGAGAGGCACTCACCCTTCCTGGAGTTGCGCCTGGGCGGATTCCTCCGAGACAAGAGCCTCATACTCCTCAGCAGCAAATCTGTCCCAGTCAGAGGGTTCAGGGCCATCATTTTCAACATCCTGATTAAAAGGAGGAAATTCGATTAAAGAGGAAAATTGGAGGTAGGTGTATTTATGATATAAATATCATAAATGTATATTGCTGAAAACCTATCTGGAAAGTGTCCCAGCATGGTAAAAGAGGGGCTGGGGTGGTGTCCCCACCATGATGTACACCTGAAATTACAAAATTATGTGTGCTAAGCAGCTTACTTTTTTTTTGGGGGGGGTCATGATTCTCTTTTTTAAAAAGAAAAAATTTATTTTAAATCTTTAAAAGATGGTTTGCCTGCATGTACATTTGTGAACCATGTGTATTCAGCATGTGCCGAGGTCAGAAGGGGGCGCTGGATCCTCTGAAACTGGAGGTATCAGTTGTGAGTCGCCACGAGGGTACTGGGACCTGTTTTGTATGTGTGTTCATGATTTGAGTGGGTTTGTGTGCCATGGCGCATGTGTGGAGGTCAGAGGGCAACTTATAGGGTCTTCTCTTTCAACACCCAGGGTTTATTAATGGTCTAACATTTTTTTTATAATGACAAAGGAGCTTGTCTCTATTTTCATGCAGAACAACATTTAAAATGGATAGGCACACACAGGACATTAATATTTGAAAAAGTGTTACACTGTCTAAATTCTATTATGCAGAAGTTCGGTTATCACATAGAAGGGTAAAGCTATTTACCATACTATCTTGGAAGTGCATAGCACAATTAAATTAAGTGTAGTTGCTAGTAAGATATATTACTGATATATATTTTTTCAAAACTACTTAGTACATACAGCAATCAATATAGCCCACTAGATAGCAAGGACTACTAGGTGGAGATTACCTAAACTGCAAGATTGCTTGTGGGAGGAGATGTGCTCTTAGTATTTATTTATTAATTTATTTTGAGGCAGGGTCTTTCTATGTAGCTCTGGCTGTCCTAGAACTTGCTAGGCAGATCAGGCTGGGCTTGAACTTACAGATAGATATCCCTTTTTCTCCCACCCCTTCTGCTTCACAGACTAAATTGTCTCTTTTTATATTTGATGATGCATTTTAGATGTAATTTCTTTAAATATTGAGTTCCCTTTGCACAGAACATTAAACACGCAGCATATAGATAGCCTTTGGTGCTCCAGCTCTGAGAGTTCAGTGTGTACTGTTACCTTCTGGACTGCAAAAGGATCTCTCTGTTCATGGTCCAAATATTTCTCCAGGTTAAAGAAAGTGTCATAAAAGATATGAGCCATTCTGCACCTCTTCAGATCTCGTAGAGTTATTTTACCTATGGGAAAATATAAAAAAAACAAATATACCCTGTAAATTTCATTGACAGCTCTTTTGACAAAAACAAATGAAACAAAAAAAAAAAAAACCCAAAAAACTTACTGATGTTGAAAAGTGTATGTAAATGTTCAGTTTATTATAAATTATATTTTAAAAAATCAAGGTGAATCATTTTAACTTGTATATGCCAGTGGGTTTTAAGTATACTCATAATGTATAACTGTCAACACCATAATATTATCCCCCCCCAAGCAAAGAGCTGTATCTATCCCTCACCTCTACAGCTCTGAGTCACCAATCTGACTCCCCGACCCAAGACAGGGTTTCTCTATGTAGCCTTGGCGTTCTGGTCACTTTGTAGACCAGGCTGGCCTCAAACTCACAGAGATCTTCCTGCTTCAGCCTCCCTGAGTGCTGGGATTACAGGCATAGGCCACCCGTGCCTGGCTCTATTTTCTTTGTTTATGAAAATTCTATTTCTTAAATAGTGGCTTTGATACTCAGAGTGAAGGAGAGAGAAACTTTAAATTCTCTATAGTTGGGAAGCCTGTAAAGGTAATGCTGGAAAAGCTAAATACATCAGGATATCAGAACTGTGTCTCATTCTGTTTAACAGAGAACAGTACAAACTGCTGTTCACTCAGTCTTACCATCATTAGCTGGCTTCACCAAGTCAAGCATCTGGCATAACAGGTCATGGAACGGCAAGGGCTCAATGCCCATGGCTTCCATCCGTTCACACTGCTCTTCATAGAAGTACTCCAGTTCATACATGGAAAGTATGCCATCTCCATCCACATCCATGCAGCGGAACCAGTACTCAATACTAACAGGTAAAAGATGCTCATTAGCAGGGACCTGGTAGAGGTTATGTATTCAAGTACTACTGCCCATGTTTCTTTTAAAGTAAACTTACGTGTATGTTACAAATTATGCCTACTCTATAAAGGGTTGTTAGAAAAAACAAGGGAGGGCTGGAGAGATGACTCAGCTATTAAAGGATAGGGTTACAACCAAAAATTAAGACAAAAATAAAACAAAACAATGGAAGGTTCCTTACACCTTCTGTTTATAAATTCCAGAATCAGTCATTTCCAAAAGCCCATTGTTCTGTTTTTTATTTTGTATTTTCAGAGTAAAACCCACATTTCTCTCCCATTTTTCTGTTTCAAGAATTGTGTGTTATTGATTTTATACAGCAGATGATATTTGGCCTTTATCACTTAATACAGTGAAACTGTTCATTCTCCCGAGTTCATGCAGCACTTCCCTTTTCCCCTCTTATTTTCTGTGTTTCCTGCACATTGTTATTCTATCAGCCTCAGATGGCCACTAGCTGTTCAGGTCCACACTCAGTTGCATCAGATATTCTAACAACTGCATTTTCTGCAAATAGTTTTTGGTTCCTTCTGACTTAATTGCCTATGGTCTGTTTGGTCTCACAATTTCAGTCTCATTTCTGAAGGTCCTTCATTATGTGTCTCATGCATCTCACATTTCCCTCCTCCTTTGACTCGGCACATTATGTAGTAGTACCCTAAAAGGGAGTGTGCCTATGGAGGCCAGAGGTCAACTGCCTCAACTGCGTCTCCACCTTTGAGGCAGGACATCTCATTAGGCAAACGTGCTACAGTAGATGGCCTGTGAGCCCCAGGGATTTATCTGTCTCCACCTCCCGAGCGCGGGATTATGAGTATGCCATGCCTGGCCTTTTTTTTTTAAACATGAATTCTGAGGATCAAACTCATGTCTGTGCTTGCATGGCAAATAGTTTACCGACTGAACCATTTCTCTATAGTTTTTTTGATCTTGCATTTCTTTTTTCCTTTTTAAACTTTATTTTAAACAAGTTCTTACTATGTTATCTAAGGTGGCCTCCAACTCCTGGGCTAAAGTGATTCTCTTGCTCTAGCTCTTGAGTAGCTGGACAGCAGGTACTTGACATTCCTCCTGGCTCAGATCTTTGATGTGGAAAGGTTCGTTTTCCTAACCTTTAATTTGGTATTTTGTGTAATTCCAGAATTAAAAGCATAGTAGTGCTTTTCCGTCAGATTTTTATCTTTCTTTTATTTATGTGATTCACTAGGACTTTAACTTTGATATATGTGAGAGTCCATTAGGTATACAAACTACTCTTAAGGGCAGGCTCCATGCCCAGTAGTACATGAATAACACAAAATGAACTCAATGGTATTTTTGGAGTTTTTTCCCCAACCCCTTACAAGTCCTTTGGGTGTATCTGAAGGCCTCTGGTTTTGTGTTTTTACGGGATTTGTTTGTGTGCAGATGTGTGTATCTGAGTCTGTATGTGTTTCTTGGGCTTTTCAGTTTTTGTTTTGTCCTATTCTAATTAGTTTTTATCTTATTTTTAGATGGGGGTTTGTGTGGATTTGGATGGGAGGTGAGGAGGATTTGGGAGGATTTGGAGGAGGGAACCATAATCAGAATACACTGTATGAAAAAATTATTTTCAATAAAAGAGTCCACATTTACCTTTTGGCATGTAGATGCATGCTGTCAGATCATCATTTGTTGAAAATACTATTCTCTCCCATTGGATTGTTTCATCATCTGTGTTATTTTTTGTGCAGGGTGAGGAATAAGAGTCTATTTTCATTTTTTTTACGTGTACATATCCATTTTCCTATTTGTTGAATATGCCTTTCTTAGGGTGCATTTTTGGTATCTTTGTAAAAAAAAAAATCAGATGGATGTATTTGCATAGCTGTATACCTGGGTCCTCTAGTTTATTTCATTGATCTGTGTCTGTTTTTATGCCAGTATGCTATTTTTTCTTACCATGTGTAACTGGATATAAAGTATGGTAATACCTCCAGCACCGTTCTTTTCATTCAGGATTGCTTAGCCATCCAGTTTCTTTTATGCTTTCATATGAACTTTGAAGGTACTTTTTCTGTTTCTCTGATAAACAGCCATAGGTAAGTGTCCCGTACCTATGGGAAAGTGGCAAAGCCTTCCCTATAGAGCCAGGACTGGAGGTGACAAACCTCGCTCTGGTGTGAGTGTGAATGTTGACAGTGTTTGTCGGTCCGAGTGTTGAGGAATGGCCGGCCAGCGTGTGTAAAGACTAGCACTGCACTCCCTCCGCTTGGGTGTTCACAGCCTGGCATGGCTGGCCTGTAGATACCTCACATCAAAACTAGCCAAACCCCCTCACCCTCCTCCCTGTGCTGGACCGAATAAAACACTGAAGGTGCTTGCGTGGTAGTTGGTGCCACTCAGAGTATGCATGGCCTTTTTACTGTCTATTGAGTCCATTTATATGGTATATTACATTTATTGATTCACATACATCTCAATAATGAAGTCAGCCTTGATCATGGCGAATGATATTTTTCATGTATTCTTAAATTTGATTGGTAAATTAATTTTTTTATTCTTCTCTCATACAATACATCCCGACCAGAGTTTCCCCTTTCTTCCACTCTTCCCAGTTTCCCCACCTACACAGGCTCCACTCTTAATTCTTCAGTCTCTGTGAGCCCTTTGAGCCCTGCTTAGTTTGATTCTGGGGGCCATATTCTCCTAGCGTTCTGACCCCTCTGACTCTTCAATCCTTCCTCTTCTCCCAGCTCCAAAGGGAGGGACCTGATGGAGATCTCCATGCAAGTGAAAGATGTGTATGATAAAAACTTTTAAGTCTTGCCTGGTGGTGGTGCACACCCTTTATCCCAGCACTCAGGAGGCAGAGGCTGGCAGATTTCTGAGTTTGAGGCCAGCCTGGTCTATAGAGCTAGTTCTAGGACAGCTAGGGCTACACAGAGAAATGCTGTCTTGAAAAACAAAACAAAACAAAACAAAACAAAACAAAACAAAACAACTTTATCTTTGCAGAAAGAAATTGAAGCTATCAGAAGATGGAAAGATTTCCCATGCCCGTGAGTCAGTAGGATCACCATCAGTAGTAAACACCCCCCTACTGAAATCAGTCTACAGCTTCAACACAGTCTCCAGCCAGAATTCCAACACCATTCTTTACAGACCTGGAAAACACAATACTCAACTTCATATGGAAAAACAAAAACCCAGCATAGACTTAGGCTCCTAACCTGGCCAGCGATCCCGGGGTAGCGCGAAGAAAAACACCCATGCACTGGCATTACTATGACGGAAGAATGTGTGATGGAGGGATGGAAGAGAGTGAAGCCAAGGTTCCTACACTCTGGAGAAGTGAGGAACAGGCAGATATGAAGAGGTCACGGTGAGGTCAGCCCAGGCAGCTACCAAGAGCCATGTCTGTGTCCAGGGTCCTGCTGCAGCTGTGGTGGGTATCAGTGTAAGTGGCCTGAGTTACCACCAAAGGCCAAGTGAATGTTAGTGTTCTGGGGGACCATGTCAAAACTGGGCTGTACTGCCACGGGGTGGGGTGGGGGTTGTAGGGAAAGAGGGGACTAAACACAATGCTGATATGAATGGCCTGTACTGCCACCTGAGGCCATGGGGATATCTGGCCCATACTGCTGCGCTGCTGGGGGCCATGTAAGGTCCCTGGTCCTATGGCAGCTGGGGTCTATGTTGAAGTCCAAGGTCCAGGCCTATGTTACCATCAAAGGCCATGCATTTGTCCCTGGAATGGACTGTTGCCTGAAGGACTGTGGTGGGCTGCCTCTGCCTCTCATCTGCTGTGGGGTGGCAAGGGAGAGAGTGTCCCCCTCCCTATGTCAGCAGGAGAGCTGGCTCTGAAGTTATGAGAGTGGGAGAGTTGGCCCTGTCACTCACTGGCTGCAGCACTTGGGAGAGGAGAACTGACCTAGTGGTGCAGGTGAGCCAGCTCTGAGGACATTGAGAGTATGAGAGCTATTCCTGCCCCTTGCTGGCTTCCGCATTGGCTGAGCTGGTGGGGGGTGGGGTGGGCAGAGAGCTGGAGAGCTCACCCTGGTGGTGCAGGTGCAGGAGAGCTGGCTGCCTGACCAACTCAGTTACTACCCAGGCCCAGATCCAGGGCTCTGAGTTGGCCCATCCTGACATCTATCTTATCTATGATTTGCTGGAGCATGTGAAGGGGCTTGGTTCTGCAGATCCAAAGCTGTAGGGTCTCCATGACACAGGGCAACAACAGGATATCCAAGAGGAATCCTGGTGAGGATCAGTATAGATAGTGTAGCAGAAGACAGAGGCCTTGAAACAGATCAATGACTCATTGCAATGAACATCTGCGAGTAAAGATGTGTGGGAAAAGGTATACTGGATGACATACTGTGACATTATCATCATATCTTATTTTCTTTTGAGGGGGATGTTGCAGTGGTGGAGGGTGAACATGAAGGGATAGGGTGATGATATGTTTGGGGTGCATGAAATTCACAAAGAATAAAAAGTAAAACAAAAAACCTAGGATAGCTAAAAACATTCTGAATAAAAGAACTTCCAGAGGTATCACCACCCCTGATTTCAAGTTACTGCTGAGCTCTGGTAATAAAAACTGTGTGGTATTGGCATAAAAACAAGCACACTGATCAGCTCATTGGCTCAGTTGAATTGGAGATACACCTATGGACATATGCTTTTTGATAAAGCCAGAGAGACACATGAACAACAACAACAAAAAGCATCTTCAACAAATGGTGCTGGTCTAACTGGCTGCATGTAGAAGAATGCCAGTAGATCCCTATTTATGTCCCTGCACAAAACTCAATCTAAGTGGATCAAAGACCTCACCATAAAACCAGATTCACCAAACGTGATAGAAGAGAAAGTGGGGAATAGTCTTGAATGCATTGACTTCCTGAATAGAATACCAACAGCACAGTCTCTAAAATCAACAATTAATAAAATAGGATCTCAAGAAACTGAAAAGCTGCTTTA